GTTGTTAGCTACCATGTAGGTGCTGGGAACCAAACTTGGGTCCTCTGCAAGAGCAGCCAGTGCTCTTAACTGCTGAGCCAGCCCCCTGCCCTTTTTTCTTTGGTTTCTTTTTTGTTGTTGTTTCTGTTATTTTTGTTTTTGTTTTTTTTGAGACAGGGTCTCCCTGTAGTCCCCGCTGACCTGGAACTTGCTATGTAGACCAGTCTGGCCTCCATCTCACAGAGATCTGCCTGCCCCTGCTTCCCCAGTGCTGTGATGAAAGGCGTGTGTCACCATGCCTGGTTCACTTTCTCCTTTTTACACAGTCCAAGATCCCAGCCCAGGGACTGGTGCTACCATAGTGGGCAAGTCATCCCACCCCAATTAGCCTCATCAAGATAATCCCCCAGGGTAATGTCCAGAGGTCAGTCTCCTAGTTGATTCCAGATCTCATCAAGTTGACACCTGGGTGACTGTCACATACAGCAAGGGCTAGGAAGGGGTGGAACACGACGGTCCTTTCTCTGCTCTTGGCAGCAGCAGCATCACTTGTGACCAAGGGTTCTGTAAGAGTCAATGGCCCTGGTCAGTTTTCTGAGAAAGCCAGTTATCTGTCACAGCTGAGAGACAAGCTGGGGGTGCATGGCCAGCCCCCAGAGGCCCCAGGCTGGATTCTGAAGAGGTTCTAACATCAGAGACCCCAGCCTGGCACCACAAAACTAGAGCCTGGCCTGACTCCCTCCTCTTTCCCACTTGACACAGCCCAGACCCGTCCGCAGGCCCTACAAATTCACAGTACCGTCCCCTGCGGCCACACCTTGCTGACTGCTCCCGCTCCCGGCTGTCCTGGGCAGAGAGCTTGTCCATGGATGGCTTCTGGATGGAGGTGGAGCGGATCCAGCAGAGGGATGGAGTGAAGGAGGAGGACTACAGTGAGGGTGAAGGTCAGCTACCAGAAGGTGAGGAATCTTGGCCAGGACTTCAGAGTGGATGGGAGGACCCTGTTTCATGGGGAGCAACATGACAGACCAGAGCCTGATGTCTCATAAGGCCAATTACATTTTGTTCTAATGGATGGTCATTCAGGAAATACTGTGTGTCTTTTGTCTGCCAGGCAGTGTTTAGCTAATGGGGATACAATGGGGGACACCAAACAGTCTCTGCAAAGCTAACATTCCAGTGGGATTCTAAAAGCTCTGTGCAAAAAAGCTCAAAGATTTCCCTGTCTCTCTCAGGGTAACAGCAACCATGTGTCCTTGTAACCATGCTGTAAGCCCTTAAACACCGCAGTGCAGAGCAGCACCCAGCCATTGTTATTAACCCATCTCACTGCTCTGGGGGTGATGACCTAGCAGCACAGTTTTTGCTCAGGGTCTCTTTTGCAGTGGCAACTCAAGGGTGTCTGGTGTGGGAGCCATCTCAAAGGACTTCTCACCCATGTGTCTGATGGCGAATGTGGCCATCCACACCTGTGGCCTGAGACTGTGGACCTGCATGTGACCTGGGCCTCCTTATCACATGGCAGATGGGTCTGAGGAATAAGAGCCTTGGAGAAAGTCAGGATCTCTGCTCCCGGCCAGCCTTGGGAGATAGCCAGAACAGCATAGCTTGTATGCATTCTATCACCTCACATATACCCCACATTTCGGGGCGGGACATGAATTAGACGCCACCTCCTGGTGGGACCACATTACATGTGAAGCCACCCTGATGGAGCCCGCAGGTCTTTCCTGAACTTCCCTGGGGCCCGTCTCTGGTCTCTGCTTCATCACCTTCCAGTCTGTCTTGCTGTCAATCCCTTAGGACATGAATTAGACGCCACCTCCTGGTGGGACCACATTACAGGTGAAGCCACCCTGATGGAGCACGCAGGTCTTTCCTGAACTTCCCTGGGGCCTGTCTCTGGTCTCTGCTTCATCACCTTCCAGTCTGTCTTGCTGTCAATCCCTTGTTTTCCTTGCTGTTCCATCAAAACACACTCCTGCCCATGTCCTTAATGCTTCCCTTCTGGAAAGTTCTTTATTCAGGTACCTACAGGGCCGTGCTTGGCCACTCTCGGGCTCAGAAAGTGCTTCCTACCCCTGCTCTGTACCATAGTGCCCTGCCTCTCATACCCCAGACGCTTGCCAGATGCTCCTCATTGCTGTAGTCATCCTCACATCCCGATGTTACCTACTGCTGTATCACCTTCCCTGAGGCCAGAGCATCACCAGTCTGTCCTACTTCAGCATCTGTACTGATGTCTAGAAGAGGCAGGTCCATTCCCATATCCCATCCCTTCCTCACACCTGATTTTCTTTGATCTGGCATACCCTTCCAGCTGTGCTGGCTTGTGGTTGATCAAACAGGCCCCACTGAGACTCACAGGTCTCCCAAGGGCTGATGGGCAGGTGCGGGGCTTCCAAGAAATCCATGGTGAGGCCAGAGGTGGGTTTGGGACACCGGCCTGCCTGCCATCACAACACAGCCAGTGAGCGCATCAAAAACCAAACTCAGGGGCTGCAGTCAGGGTGGGGAAGGCTGCAACCGTTTTGGACCACAAAATTAACACAGGGCCAGTGTAAGCTCACAGGACAGAGGGAGTCAAGAACAACCATGCTTCGTCATCGTTATTTTTAATTAGTGCACAAAATGACGGGTTTCATTATGACATTTTTGTGCAGGAGGGCCGTTGTGCTTTGCTCCTGAGGCCCTCCCTGCCCATTCCCATCCCTGCTCCTGCTGTCCCTTTCATAGCTGAGGGCCCCATTTAAGACAGGATCTTGCTCTTTTAAAACAGGTTTGAGGCAGTCCCTATGAGTGGCCATGAGGTTCTGTTGGGCATGTCCACCTTTCTGAGTCCTGACTCAATAAAGGCATAACTTTCCTTTTTTCTTCTCTTTGGTCTTTTTCTTTCAGATGCTGGCCAAAGCCGAAGTATGCTTTCTCTGGGACACTGGTCTTTTTCAGTCTTTGTCTAAAGTGCCCCTCCCTGCCTATGGCTCCTTGTTCACCATGTAGCTTACCTCCAGGCTGGCTTAACTCAAATAGCATGGCCTTTTCTCTATCTCTGACCTCTGGACAGCTTCTACGGTTTATAGCTTACCTGCTCTGGGGTCTTCCTGTTAAACTCAAATAAAATTGTCTTTGAGTTTCAAAAGGTTTAAGTAAAAAATGTGGCCCATGACTAAGGGGAAAGATTTGATAGGTAATTGTGTAAGGATAGTGGGATCCAGATGAACATTATCAAGTGTATCAATTTCTTCCTAGTGCTATGACAGAATACCTGACAGAAACAATTTAATGGGGGAAGGATTTATTTTGGTTTAGGGTTTTGGGGTTCAGTCCATCATGATGGGGAAGGCAGGGCACTAGGGCACTGGGAATACATCATGGAGGATCCTCACACCTTGGCAGAAGCCGGGGATTCTAAACTGGAATAGCGAGTAGGTCTAAGTTCAAAGGCCAGCTCCTGTGGCCCATGTCTACCAGTTAAGCCTGAATTTCCAGAGGATCTCCCACAACAGCCCACGACCTGGGGACCGAGTGCCTCAACCCATGAGCCCAGGAAGAATATTCTAGATTGAAATAACAAAGAGATAGGAGACTGCCCCATGCTAGGCCATGAATAACATGCCTTTCAGTTGAAGGGCGTCCCAACATCACAGAGGAGCCAGAGCCTTCACCAGTCACACAGGTCAGGGGTGGACCAAGCTAGGGTGGACATGCCCTGGGAACATTTGTTCTTGTACCCAAGTTCAGGGGGAACATCAGGGAAAGGGCTCTGTATCTGGCTTACTTACATAACCCAGAAGACCACAAAAGCAGTTTGGTTTGGTTTTTTTGATATCTTCAGTGTTTGATGTCTAGTTTGTTCAACATGGTGCAACTACATATGCCCCACATCCCTCTCAGGGACATAGGACTTCCTTGGTGAGCACTTGGCTATTTCCCCCAGAATGGGGTGATCTGAAGAGCCCACTACGTCAGGATAAGTGGGAGGGGGTCCAGATGTAGCTTTCCAGGCCCTGGCCTGAGCTCATGGTACAGAGCCCAGCAGTTGGGACCAGAAGCTGCAGTCTCAGCACACACCATAGTTCTGCTATAGGATGCTAGCACAAAATCAAGGGGACCAGAGTGTTTAGGGCCCTCCCTAGCCTGCTGTCTCAATGCTGAGTTTAAATCTGGATGCTGGGGCCAGGTATGGTGGCCCAGGCCTTTAATCCCAGCACTTGGGAGGCAGAGGCAGGCGGATCTCTGTGAGGTCCAAGCCAGCCTCCTCTATATAGGGAGTTCCAGACCAGCTGGGGCTACAGGGAGACCCTGTCTCAAAAAAGACAAAAAAAAAAAACAAAAATCTGGATGCTGGTTAGTGCCATAAGCACTCCAGTTCTCAGACACCCAGGGAGAGTTAGCCAGTGTTAGCAGGCCTCCTGATGCGTTCTGCAGCAGCTCCTTTTGTCCACATGAGTGGGGCCTACTGCTATGTGTGGCTGAGTGCTGAGCTGAGCTGTGTGCGTATGGAACTCTGTGTGTTTATCTGGTGCCTTCCCTTTGTTGGCCGAAGGAGACGCTGAATCCCAGTGGCTGCAGGACACAGGCCTGTCAGGCCTTGTTGGTGGCCTGGGCTTAGACGCTGATCACCAGGGACTCCTGTCTACACTGACACAGACCCAGGTAGCCACCGTGTGCCGCCGGCTGGACATCTATACCCGCTCAGCCCAAAGACGACACAAGGCTCCTATTCGAGATGTCAGGGATGTCTTCGGGGCCTTCACTTCGAGAGTGAGTAAGGGGTCAAGCACGGTCTTCCTGGGGCTTCTGTGATGTCACTGCAGCTCACATTGAGACAGGAAGTCTGAACTGAGTGAGAAGTGAAACCTCAATGCCTTATGATGAAATGCAGCTAGCTTAGCTAAGCTGACTGCTGAAAGTTCCTGCTCCCACTCTACTGTTATATGGGCTACTGAGCCCAGTACATAGCCTGATCATATAGGCTAGAGACCCCTGTGCAAGGCCCATAGTCACACTGGCATGGAAAATCAGTCAGATGATAAATTAAGCACTTTACCTGGAGAGCTGAAGAGCTCACCTTTTTATTTATTGCTCATAGTCGCAGATGAGCTAACGCTCTGAAGTTCCGGGTACCCACCCAGTTCAGTTTGCAGGTTTTACAGAGTTTATGTGCTATCTTTTGGCAACCATTTTTATTGGTGGTTCAAACTCTAGTTTCCTGTAATTTACAACTCCTAAGATAGTCACAAGACAATTTCAGGAAATTCTTTTCATGGTTAAGCAGCTAAAAGTTGACTACAAAGGCAGATTTGCTGGCATCTAGTTAAACATTTTTTGAAATGGAATTTAATAAACAGGACAATCGCAAATAGGGGCCCCAGCAGACAACTGTGGTGTTTCTGGTTTTCTGAGTTCTCTGTTGTCAGTTCTACTTCTGTAGACTCTGGTCAAGCATTTACTAAGTAAAGCAGCACATGGAAGTTACTATGTCCTAAAACACAGAAAGAAAAAAAATCAGGTAAGAGAAATTAGGGAAAAAATCATGTGGTAAAGCCGGGTATAGTGGCACATGCCTTTAAGCCCACCATTCGGGAGACAGAGGCAGGAGGATCTCTCTGAGTTCATAATGAGTTCTAGGCCAGCTGGGGCTACAGGGAGACCTTGTCTCAAAAATACTAAATACATATGTGTGTGTGTGTGCGTGTGTGTGTATTTGAACAGTATTAAATGCACAGATTATATATTTATCCTCTTCAACACAGGCAGGAATTTAAACTCACCAATAGCGGAAAAGATCAGAAATGATGCTGAGCTGCCTATAAATGTTCTGAGTAACAGTGGCTTTAGGCTCAAGCTTTGGAGGTTATTCCCGAATTCATGAAGGCATGAATAAAGCTTATGATTCTCCACACAGTCTCTGGTGCCTGTTCTGAATGTGGCAATTCCTGTAACAACATGGGCCTCTCTGCATTCCACTGCATCCCATGCTGCATCTGGGTCTGAGCTGCAGGAGCCGGTGTGCACACACTTGTCTCTGCTGGAGTCTTGGGTGCATCTGAAAGCTTAGGTTCTGTCTGTGTCATTACCAATATAAACATGATGCTTTTCATTGTCCCTTGCCTGTTCTGCTGGCACTGAAGTGTGACAGGCTGTGGACATCTTCCTTCTAGAACCCATAGGAAAAGGCATAACACTGTGATTAAAACAATAGGCATTGGAACCAGACAGCAAGGCCTCCATGTCTCTCCCCATCTACTTAGCTGCTGTGGGATCTCAGCTCAGTGGCTTAGCCTCTCTGAGCTTCAGTTGCTCCACCCCTGAATGGTTCCTATCTCCCAGGGATGTGTATCATCTTCCCACAGGACTAATTGAGCACTCTCTGTAATTTGTATAGGAAGTGTCTTCAGAGAATGGGGACTCGGGAATGAAATGGATTCAGATCAGGTCTGAGGCTTCCGTATCTCCTACAGGTAAGTGGCATCCTTCTGCAGGGCCCGGGAATCCTCCAGGATAAAGGGCCTCTCTGTGGAGAAAAAGAATGCTCACCTCTGAGCACTTCCTTTCCTTCCCTGTACCAGGGTAATGGGAAGGAACTCTGAGGAGACTAACTGGTCCCACAGGCCTCAGTCCAGAAATTCCCTGGCTAGGAAATCACTTCCTGGGCAATGGGCCTTGGATAAGAAACCACTTCCTGGAGCTATGGGCCTCAGTTGGACTCACTTCCTGGAACAGTGGGCCTCAGTTACAATATCACTTCCTGAACAGTGGCCTTAGCTGGAATACTACTTCCTAGAGCAGTGAGCCCCAGCTGGAACCCCACTGCTTCCTAGCCAATCCTGTCTCTCTACTTTAATTTCATAGGAACAGCAGAGCTTGAGGGACCGCAGGAGCCCACGGGGAAGGAGGAGGTTTTCAACATGGACTCTGCCTACTCAGAGCAAGCCGCAGCTCTCCTGCACAGGACCAGGTCGTCCCTGGGAGGCACCTGTGCCTGGGGCAAGGGCTCCCTGCCGGTGAGGGTGCTGTCAGAGGCCCTTAGGCACCAGAACATCCTTCCCCTCTCATACCTGCCCACTGCTAGGCACCCAGCTTTTAGCAGAGTGGCTGCTGGCTGGCAGGGACTTCAACTGGGAGTGCCTGGCAGCTCTCTCAGGATTTCCACTGAGACACTTCTCTGCTCCTATCTCCAGAAAATCCTCCGTCATGGAAAGCTGATCACTAGTCATCAGTAGATTTTCTAGTTATTTTTAAGAATTAATCTTGGGGCCCAATAAGTTGAGAAAGACCCAGGTTTTAGTTTTTGTGCTTTATTTCCTTGTGGTTGAGTTAGCATGTTAGGATCAATCATTTATATTTAGGTATTTAAAACTGAAATTTAACTCACAGGAAGGTGCCCAGAGATTCATGGCACAACCTGATGTCGGTCACTGTGGAGGTACCATCTATATCAAGGTCTAAAACTTTCCACTCCATGAAGGCTCCCCCATTCCCTCCCCAGGCAGTCCCTCTCCTCAAAGCAAGCAGTATCCTGACTTCTTTCATGGGGTCTAGTCTTCCCAGGCCTGCAGGTAGTTACTAAGGGAGGTTTTCACTGATGTACCTAGATAACTGGGGACCAGTTCACAGAGGACCACCTCACTTGGGAGTGGCCCAGGCTTTGCACATACCTGCTTGAGGCTTCAGCTTACTCTAGGAGATGAGTGTGCCATTACACACTCATTTGATGACAGACAAGAGATAAGTGAGCTCAGAAATGTGAAATGATGGAACTAGTTGAAACAGAAGCCAGAATGAGGACCGTACAACTGCCAGACCAAGTCTTCCAAATTGACCTCTACTCTCTCCTGCGCAAGGGTTTTGCCTCACACCTGCAGTGACCTCTACCCCAGTGTGAAAGGAACCACTTCAGTTCATTCAAATTTCACTTTAACCTTTTTATTTTGAAATAATTTTAGTTCACAAGAAATTGCAAAACTCTGGAGTGCCATTAGCCTGTCCCCTACTTTCTCCCAGGGACAATATTTTATGGAATCATAGCATACCGAATGCAGTTTTAAACAATTTCTTATTCCTAAAAACTCAGAGATAATTAATTTTCAGCATTATCTTGTATTCTTTCCTAATATTCCCCAACTAAACAACAAATGAAGATAATTAATCTCATATATTGACTTTGTTGACTATAGACCAAGTGTTATACTGAGTACTTGGGTTGGGACTCTAGCCCAATATATGAGAAGCCCTGGGTTCAATCCCCAGCATTAAAAAAAAAAGCCCAACACAAACAAACCACTGCCAAGTATTTTACATACATGATTTAGTTTCATTCAATTATGCTAATGGTAATCATGTGAATAAACAATAGTAATAGGTAATTATCAAATCTACACCACTGTATGTTAGGCACTGTGCTGTGCATGCTCTAACTTAATTTCCCCAACAGTCCTGGAATGTTGCATTGTCAGCTTCCCATCACTATCATGAAATACCTGAGGCGGTTGACATAGAAAGAGAAAAGGGGGGTTGGAGAGTTGGCTCAGAGGTTAAGAGCACCGGCTGCTCTTGCAGAGGACCCAGGTTTAGTTCCCAGCACCCACATAGCAGCTAACAATCATCCATGGCTCCAGTTCTAGGCGATCCAATGCCCTCTTCTGACCTCTGTGGGTACTGCATGACACGGGTACACATACACATGCAGACAATACGTGCATACACATAAAATAATTTTTTAAAAAATATTTTATTATTTTTATTTTATGTGTATGCATGTATTACCTGCATGTAGGTAAGCACCCATGTCATGCAGTGCCCACTGAAGACAGAAGAGGCTGTCGGATCCCCTGGAACTGGAGTTATGGACAGTTGTTAGCTGCCATGTGTGTATTGCCTGCACATAGGTAAGTACATCTGTGTCATGCAAAGCCTGCGGAGGGCAGAAGAGGCTGTTGGATCCCCTGGAACTGGAGTTACTGACAGTTGTTAGCTGCCATGTGGGTGCTAGGATTCGAACCTGGGTCTTCTGCAAGAACAGTGAGTGTTCTTAACCGCTGAGCCATCTCTCCAGCCCCCACATAATTTTTTTTAAAGAGAAAAGGTGCTAGGCATGGTGGTGCACGCCTTTAATCCCAGCACTTGGGAGGCAGAGGCAGGTGGATCTCTGTGAGTTCATGATGAGCTTGGTCTACATA